GTATATATATATATATATATATATACTGTGTATATATGTATTTCTTTAAATATATAAAAACTAAACAGCATGCTGTAGTTTTAGTCTCATTTTTATATTTGAAATAAATGTTTATCTTCTACTGTTACAGCTGGTCAGAGTTCTCTTTAAATGGGAGCCGAGTGGAGAGTCTCCTCTTTTATTCCACGCCTGAGCTGATTTCATGCTCTAATACAAAGAAAATTGAAGCGATAATATATATGTGGAGTTACAGAACAACTTTAGATAAGCATGTGTATTTGCTAACAGTGGAAAAACTGCTGCTCCCTTTGATAACTATCAGTTTATTAATCTTTTTTTTTCTCAGTTGCTTTCTATTAAAGCTCTTTTTGAGCGGTCTTGTTTAAGGACTCCGCTTTGCTGCAGTGAGATTAAAAGCAGATCTCAACCTTTCAACGAGGCTGGTTTTTATCTGTTTTTGTAGCCTCAAGATCATAATTTCATATATTTAAAAAGAAAAACGGTTTCTAAGAAATGTGATGCGGTTGCTGGAACTTGAAGATAAAGAGTTTCTTTGATAAAAAGTAAGCTCTTAGTTCAAAAACTGAAACGATCACAGTTGATTATTTCTAACAAAACAGTAATTGAGTTTGACTGTGGCTGAAAGCAAAATCAAATCACTTGAAATTAAGTTTCTTTTCTATTTTAGGGATGTCTGGCGAGTCCTGAGACGTGTYTGAGGATGACCTTAGTTTTCTGTCTTTGAAAGAAACTTAACTCATCTTCCTGCCAGATGTAGTACATTTCTACCGTTTTGAGCTCTTCTTTTGTTCACGTTAAGTCTCCTAAAACCTACTGTTAGTGTAAACTAACCTCCAAACTTTGACAATTACAAATAAACACAGCGCAGGTCACATGCCAGCCTTTAACGAATCGCTTAGAGCCGTAAAATCAGTGCCGGGCGGATTCAGACGCTAACACAAACACCGTCTGGAAACCTAGAGTTTAATGTGACACTGAAGGAACAGAAAGCAAGCTAAAATACGTGATTTTAGATATCCAAACAAATATAAATAAAGAAATAATTAATAAAATCATCTAATAATTTTTGCATTAATTTAAAAAAATCACATTTTAGCCCTACTGAAAGTGACAAGTATGAATTGCAGCAGGCAGTTTCTCATGTCAGCTGAATATTTATTACAACACTTGTCAGCTCAAACAAACACAACCCCACATAATGTTTCTGTAAGTGTCTTTGTGGCCAAAAGAGGTTGTGTTAACAAATTAGACTGCCTATTTCTTCAGCGCCCTGTTCTGATCCTTTTCACTGTCTAATTATGGATGGATCACAGTATAATTAATGAGATCTGAGCCCCAGTTTCCCTTACACTTTAAATGCAACAAAGGTCATTTCTGCATTTTAAATGTACTGCATTAATGTGGAAAGTGAATAACAAGTAATATACTTAAACTTTTAAGTTATATTTTCTTATATTTTTACAGAAAACCTAAGGGGAAAAACATACTGTAATGGTTTTTAACATTTCTAATAATAAACCAACTTATAGACATTATATGAAAAATTGATTTATTTAACTATTAACTAAATTAACAATATTTAGTATTTAAAGATATTTGTTTTTACCAACTTATCCATTAATTTTAGGTTCTAATCAGTGTTCAGTGTTGACTTCTAGCTAGCAAATCAAAGCTAAGATTGCTATTGCTAATAGTTATGATTAGCTGGTTAGCAGCTAGCTAGCTAATTGTAGATAAAAAATGAAAGACTTAATTATTAGTTAACAGCTTGCTAATCAAACACAAGTGCTTCTAGCTACATACATTAGCTAGATACATTAGCTGTGAATAGCTAACTAACAGTTAGCTAGCTAATCCTAGGTTTTTGAGCTACCTTCATTAGCTAGCAGCGCTGCCATTAGCTAACTAACAGCTAGCTAACTGGCTAATTGCTACATCCTAAACACATGCATATTAACATCTCATTTTTAAGCATTCATCATTTACATAAAATATATTTTGAATTTTTATTGTTTCTTTTCTGTATATTTAGCAGTGCTTTTGCTAATTGTTTTACATTTTATTTTTCAGCAGCTATTTATAATTAATAAATTAAAATACCTTTATACTTTGTAGTCTTTCATACTATTTGCTTGTTTGTTTATTCGGGGATTTTACTGTTTACACTAAACTGCCTTTAAGTGTTTCAGTTACGGCAGTAAATAAGGAAAAAAATGAAACTTAACTAGAAAAATTAAGTGTGAATGCTTCTTGCTGAAAACTGCAGCTGAAGGAGCTGAAAATGTTTAATAGCAAAACAGTTCATATGAGTTTAATTTGAAAAGCTGAAAAAAGCATAAAAACGCAGAAATAAGCAGAAGAATTGCAGAGACGAGCAGAAATATAGCTGAAATAGCAGAAAAAATAAAACTAGCATAAAAAYAAGCTAAAGATAGCAGTCACAAGTTGAATTTGGCACCCAGATGTTGAAGGTTTTCTAAAATATTAGCAGACAAAAAAATCATAACAGTACAAAAAAGTAATAATTTAGCTAAAACAGACAAACTCTTCCGTAAATCAGCTAAAATGTAGCTGGAAATACTTGAATTAGTATAATGAAGCATAAGGAGCACAAGTTTTCTGAACTTAGCAAAGATAAGTTGTAATGAAATGTGTATTTAGCTTAAAAATATAACTTCAGCTAATAACAGCTGAACATTAGCTAAAATTTCAGCAAATAGCCGAATATAGCAGAAAGCAACTGTAACACGCAGAAATAGCTCAAATTATCAGAAAGAAACACAAAAAGGTAGAAAATAGCAAAAGAATAGCAGAAGCAGAATTAAAGCTGAAATAGCAGAAAAAGCAAAAATTAGCAAAAAAAAATGCTAAAATTAACACAAGGAAGTTAAGAATTGCAGAACCAGAACAAAAGGTTGTGTAAAGATTTAGAAACATTTTAAAGAATTTTAAGGATGTCCTGATGCATCTCAGTAATCCAGGTAAAAAAATCAAAAAGAAAAAAATTGTATAGGTCTTCTGGACGGGTTCTTCTCTAATGAAACGTTTCGTCTCTCCTCCAAGAGACTTATTCCGTATGTTGCGGGTGTTTCGGAGAAACTGAGACGTTTATTTTCTAAACATGATGTCCCAGTAGCTTTCAAACCCCAAAACACATTACGGCAAAGGCTGGTTC